CCAACGTTTCAAACTTGGCCGGAGGGTAGTTCTCTGTACGTCCTCAAACAGTGTGGCATGATTGACCGTATCAAATGCCTTTGATAGGTCAAGGGCTACCAACACTGTTCTGTCACACGGCCTGTTCTGGTTTAGTCCTCTACTAATATGTGTGGAAATGGCGTGTAATGCTGTTGTGGTACTATGTTGTGGACGGAATCCATGCTGGTGGTTGGCAACTGCATAGCTTCCTCTAATGCTGGGGAGGAGTAAAGCCTCAAGAGTCTTTGCTACTGGCGACAAAAGCGAAATCGGCCTGTACGATTCGCCTTTACTGGCATCCTTGCCTGGCTTCAGTAGCGGGACCACCCGGCCCATTTTCCAGGTTTCGGGCACTATGTAGGTGGCTAGCGACAAATTGAGAACTTTTGTTAAGTACTCGACTCCCGGCGTATCCAGCTGCTTCAACATTACCATTGAGATTCCGTCCGGGCCCAACGCTTTGGATGACTTAGCGTTACGGATGACATTTGCAACATCACCCATCGTAAACTGTGGTGGTTCCTCCTCGGCGGGAAGAGATCTGATACGACGTAGTACTCTTCGCTTCGCCCTATCACTCTCGGGGTGCTCGACAAATTGTCGGTTAAAATATTCCGCGCACCTCTTCGGATCAGTCACCGTTACGTCGTTAAAAGTGACTGAGGTCCTATCATCCTTTTTTCCAGGGTTCGAGAGCGACTTAACCGTTACCCACAGCTTACTCATATCGGTTCCAATGTTGCAGCACTTCAGATGGTCTAGCCACTTTTTCCTCTTATGCTCCTGCACCAACCGGTTGACTTCCACTGTCAAATCACTGATTCTAGGATCAGTAGGGTTGGTACGACGGAGATCATCACGCTCGTTTGCTAATCCCGCTGCCTCTGCTGGGAAGTTTGGTCTTATCTCGGGTATTCGACCAGCAGGTATATAGCGAGCGGCTGCAGCTCTGATGATGTTTCGGAAAATCCTTTCTGCTACCCGAACATCAGAAGGGTTGGGCAGTTCTCTGAAGCGGCGGTTGGTGAATTCTCTGAACTCTGGCCAGTGAGCTTTCCCATGGTTAAGGAAAGTGCGGCGTTCAGAGGTTATGAAATCGGGCGACCTGCTTATGGAGACGATTATCGGGAGATGGTCTGAGCCAAGAGAAATGACGGGTTGCCAAGTCACGTCATTTATCAGACCGGGTGACACTATGGTTAAATCTGGCGAACTGTGACACTCTCCTCTTATTCGGGTGGGGGCATCCTCGTTAACCGTGCAGAATGTGGAGCAGTCAATCTGCTCTGCCAGCGCTGATCCCCTCTGGTCATTACCTAGGACGGAATGCCACAACTCATGGTGGGCATTAAAATCCCCTAGTACCAGGCGGTTATTGCCTACCAATAATGGGCTAATATCAGGCAAATAACGTGGTTCACAGCTATTAATCGGCGGGATATACACATTAAGCACCTCTACCTCGGCAGTTCCACACTTGACTGCTACCCCCATACATTCCATGTATGGGTCACTAGAGACTAGCTCAAGCGAGATAGGTCTGTACTGAACAGAATGGTGTAACAGGAACGCTAATCCCCCACCTCCACTTCTGGTGCGATCCTTCCTTAGTACGTTGTAACCATAACAACGTTGTAGGCTGCAATTTTCATTCAGCTTGGTTTCCTGCACCGCTGCGATCTTAATATTCCTCCGACTCATAAATTCCACTATCTCATCTATTTTGCCTCGAAGTCCGTTGCAATTGAATTGCAAGAATGATGCACAATCCGGAGTTGGAACAGCAACATGTGGCGTTAGGTGCTGCGGTGTTGGTTGCTGTTCTGGAGACTGCGGTGGAGTGCCATACTCCGACGACGTCTCTGACGAGGACGACGAAGAAGAGGACTCGCTGGGGACTACGTTACTGCAGCAAGTCGCAACATAATCCCTTTCGCTGTAGTCTCGCAAACGCCTTAATCCGGAACAGTTCTTGAAGTGCACCCACTCTCTGCATCCATTACATCGCACCGAGACAGATCTGTGGTGGATGACGTTCTGACAAACCGAGCAGAACCAAGGTCCGGGGTTTTCCTCAATCCCGGCACGGACCAATAAAATCCGGAGCAAGCATTCCGGGATATGCTGCTCCCAATGCAGAAAAATAAACAAACACAAACATGTACATACTGGGTTGGCAGCCGCTGGCCGAAACAGGAAACTTGTTGTTTCGGGTCAATCCGGTATCGTAGAACCCGCTGCCGTGGGATTGTCGATGATTTTGTCGATGCATTCGTTGCAATAAGCATTTCGAAAACGCCCGAATTTGAATATTTTCTGAACAATTTTTTATTATTGAAAAGAAGACACACACATAAGTAAATGAAGTTGACATATTAAGCCAGAAAAATAAAAAAATTTAAATCATATGGTAGTTCTGCCCTACCTTGAATTCATTGTACCATGATCTCTACCATCTTTATTACAGATCCTGTATTTATAGAAATATTGAAATGTGCCAAGCTTAAATGGAATCGGATGTTAATTTCGTGTTTTATTAGTTTCATGGATATCCAAAATTTTGACCCTTTGTGGAGGAGGTACCAAAAGAAATGGTCCAGCCATCTTCACACCAGGCCATGGGTTAATAAAAATATTGTGATGTGTGTAATTTAAAGACAATCAGACTTTAACATCACATTTTACAAGAGTTATAATTATTCAAAATGTTAACCCTTTGTGGGGGAGGTACTTGATGGAGTGGACCGATATTGTCCATTTTCGCCCTTGACCCAGCACTAATGCAAATATTCGGATTTGCAAAGTTGGAGAACCATCGGATTACCCCATGGTACAATGAAGAGAAGGTAGGTCAACTTTAAAAAAATTGCAGGTATATAGGTCTACCTGTTTGGCTTGTAATGTCAGAATTAGTATCAAAACAATAAAAAATCAAACAACTTGTTGCATTTATTTTGAATAAGTAATTTAAAACCGCGAAAACTGAATGAATGGTCAAAATTACTTTTCAATATCATGTTCTATATATCTCTTATGGTTTATTTCGCGACAAAAACTGTAGATTTTGTCGATGCATTCGTTGCAATAAGAATTTTGAAAACACCCTAATTTGAAAATTTTGGAACAATTTTTTATTATTGAAAAGAAGACTCACACATAAGCAAATGAAGTTGACATATTAAGCCAGAAAAATAAAAAAAATTAAATCATATGGTAGTTCTGCCCTACCTTGAATTCATTGTACCATGGATTACCCTTTCTTTTTCTGTGCAGTAAAACATTTTTTTTTTTTTTTTTTAAATTCCGACGTTTTTTTGGGGGAGGTACCAGAATTAGTGGACCGATATTGCCAATCTTCGAACTCGATATATGTTTAATAATAATATTACGGTGTCCCAGGTTTCAATCAAATCGGATACTTCCTTCGAGAGTTATCGTGCGCACCAGCCAACCAGACAGATTGACGGACATCGTTAGATCGACTCCAAATGTCCTGAAACGGATTTGGTCCAAAGAGACCTAAGGTCTACAACCGTTATTTTGATGAGGCACGTTTTGATCGTATCCAATGATATATACTCTCTCTCTCTCTCTTTGAGGGTATAATAAATTGGTCAAGAGTCTCTTGGGAAATGTTTCTGTAAATTCTAACGTTATTGCTCTGACGGTACGTGATAAAATGTCGAAGTTAATTCCACATTTATTGTTCTGATTGTACAAGGAATATATTTAAAAATGCACAATTTTCTTCATTTCTATATTTTTTTGTTCGACGGGGAACAAAAAATTTGATTATTGAAAATGTTTAAGATTTAAATAATCTGGATTGTGGAACCTCAAGGCATTTAATAGTTTTCCTCAATACAATTTTATGACCTTATGAGGCTAAAGTGTTCCCTATAGAATGAATAATTGAATAAACAAATAAATAATGCAATCAGTAAATAAAAGACCACCAGGGAGTAAAAGCTTATCACGGGTCCTGCAAAAATATAATATCACTTATATATTGCAGACCAATAAAAGATCCGTTTTTGAAGACCTTCTTATCGCGTTCCATGGTTAGAATAATTTCCTTCATTGTCCTCCTCATAATTTATGACAAATTAGAAATAGGTACTTTTTATTTCTTGATTACATTTGCTTAAATAACATGCCTACATTATTCTCTAGCTTTATACTAAGTTGTTTATGGTAGAGGCCCCCTAGCACAAACATTTGTTTTTCGTCATACCAATGAATGAGGGACGGAACGTGAATACCCACAATACTCTTCTTGGGTAGACAAGAAAAAAAAACACCCAAACACATGGATGGTTGAATGAAAGCAAAAAAAATATATTGGCTGGGCTCCCAAAACTAAAGAACCTACTAATGATGGTGGTGATGACCACACAGCGTAATGCAACAACGTCAGGAAAAAAGCAGGGGAACAACAACTTGCTCTTTTTAAAACCAATCAATACAAGAGATATTACAACAATATTAGATTTACAAATTTTGATGAACCACCTTCGTTAAGGACTCCTTAAAGACACCAATTAAAAGCTAAATAAAAAAAGAAATATGTGCAGCGATTGAAGAGGGGGGCCTGTAGTGTTACCACAACTAAGAACCCACACAAGCACCTTTCTATCAAAGTGCCAGCCAAATTACGCACACACATTCCGTGACGTATGCCTGCGAATTCTTTGTTTTCAAAACAGATAACTACAAATTACATTTGACCATAACTTGGGCTAATTTCCGTATCGGCTCAATGTTGATAGAAATACAAAAAAATATGAACTATAGTACACACATTGGGAAGGGACCTTGCTTGCCTGCTTATTATTGCCCATCAATAAAGTGCAATAAATATAATGCATACGTTTTTTTTATTTTCTTCTTATTGTTGTTTTTTTACTTTTATCTTTTATATATTACTTGCAATCTTTCGTGGGTTCTTTTATAATTGTTAATATGTTATGTTAATTTACCTAAAATTTCACTTGCACAAAACAAAAATAAGTTTTTATTCTTTTAAATGGATTTCTTTAAAAACTTTTTTCTATGCACTTTTATCTGCCGACATCAACACTTATCAACTTATTTAACTAATAAGAAAAATTCAAACTGATAATCTTTTGACAGTTGGGAGAGAACAAGAGAGAGAGAGATTAGAATTTCGTTTTTATTCTTTTGTTTAGAATAGGATGAAATGGAGAATGTGAAAACTTTATGATATGGCAACATGGTTAACATTTCGTTTTAACCCATTTGAAACGCCGTCCCATCTGGACCTACATAAGGTCGGCCAGGAAGCGAATTGGTAAAAAATATCTTTTAATTTTAATGTCAATTTTTTTTTCTAGGCGAAAAAACTTATTTCGCCTTGACATCTAATAATCACGGCAAATTTGTTAATTGCCAACAAAGAAAAACAAAACCAAAAGGAAAGCATCATGTATCAGAATGTCGACTTTTGTGTTGGAGGTACCAATGAGTACACCGAAACATGCATTGTATTTGTAAAAATATTGGAATATGTGCATTTTAGATTAAATAAGAAGATTATTATGCATTTTATGAGGGATAAATATATTCAAAATTTTGACCCTTTGTTTGGGAGGTACTTGAGAGTGGACTGATATCGTCCTAGCACTGATATGGTTATTGGGATGCAAAGAGTTTGAACAAAATTGGATGATCTGTTTTTGTTGTAGTAGGTAAATTATTTTCTTTGAAATTGTGGACCTTTGACCTTTGTTAAGGTAGGTACCAGTAGGATTGGACCAATATTGCTCATCTACGAACTCGATCTATGTTTTCTAAACCAAATCGGTAGTTCTCTTCGATATTTATCCTGTGCATCAAATGGATGGAGAGGTGTCTGTCCCTCTAGATCGATTCCAAATGTCCTGAAACGGAAGGGTTTCGAACCGTTGTTTCGATGCCCGTATCAAATTTTATTCCTATCAATTATTCATACAGGGTGAGATAAAAAAAACTGCAACAAAATCAAATGACATTTTTTTAAATTTTATTGAAATATCGGAAATAGCATCAAATTTTAGAATTGGCCTTCAAACGGTCAATGAAACCGTCACACGCTGTCCGAATGTTGCTCTGCGGGTGATCGGCACTTTGGTATTTTTTAGTGCCAACCTTGCTTTCCAAAATACTCCAAACACAATAGTCCAACGGATTGGTATCCGAAGATGTTGGTGGCCGTTGTGCGCTGGAAATGAAACGAGGAACCTCATTTTGAAACCATTCATGGGTGGCGTATGCTGAGTGCGATGGTGCTAAGTAATGTTGAAATGTCCAAGATCTGCGGTCAAAAGGTTTGCGTGCTTGAGGCTTTAATACACCCTCCAGAACATTTTCGCGATAATATTCGGATAATATTTTCTCATCGGGGAAAACCAAAAAAAAACCAAGCCAAGCGAAGCAACTCTTTTTTGAGTTTATTTTTTTTCTGGTGCGGTGTAAGTTCTGGATTTTTTTGGAATTTCAATGGCTTTACCCCGAGCTCATTTTTCAATATAAAGGTAGACGCGTCAACAAAGGTCAAGGGAAAATGAACGGTCAAACCAATTTTGGAATTGAAAATTTTGAATGAAAAAGTATTCAAATTTATAAAAATTGTTAAAAGAAAAACACACAATCGTAATAAAAGCAATTGCATTCTTGCAGTTCTGGAACAGACCAACATATTATAATAACCTCCGATTGTCGTCGTTTAAGAAAACTTATAAAAATATTACTTATATTTGAAAAAAAAAAATTAAAATTTTTGACATAGGTAGCAGTTGAGTTACTGAGATTTTGAAAATTCTCATTGGAAAAATTTTCCCAGTTGGAATTACACATTATCATCAGCTGATAGATGTGAATCATTGCCGATCTGAAACGTTTAAACCGTGGTAAAACTAAGAAGGTAGAGTCTTGCAGTCATGAGTCAGTCAAAATTATAAACATGATAACATCTTATTGTCGAAATGTATACTTACAGACTGTAAAAAAAGTTGATTTCACTCGAATCATTCGTGTTCAAACGTATTCTTTTTAATTTGGTTTTTTATAAATATGTTGAAAGATCTCGTCCATTCCCGAACAGCTTTGATATTTTAATGTTTCCATAACCATTATTTTTTTTTAATTTTTTAGGAGTTATGCTGGTTGTGGCAACCCCAATAAATTCAAATTTTATCAAAAAATTGTAAAATAAAATTTAAAAATGCCAAGCAAATATTTGAAGATGCGCCAACTAAAAGTTGATTTGTAAAAACAGTTCATATATAAATTCCCCATCCTATCCATACAATTTTGGCGTACTTCTGTAACAAACAGCACGTTTCTGTTCAAAACTAGGGGCCGCCTCCTATAATTTTTTTCTGACATTTTCGTTTGTATTTTTTGTTACAAAACCCACAAAAACCAAAAAAGAAGGGCGAAAATCTTTCTTGGGTTTGTCACTGACAGAAAAAAATAGGGTAAGTGTGCCTAAGTTCGGCATGTCCCAGTAGTCGGCACTTTTTAATTTTAAGCCCAAATAAATGAAACTATTATAACTAAATGTATTTTGTTTACTTCAAATATATTATCAGCTATCTTTGTGTACAATTTCGCTAAGAAAAGATGAATTATTCTAATAAAAATTAAATTTTTGTCTGTGAAGGTCCTCAACAATCCATATTCTTAAGAAAAGTACAATAAAGACGTCGAATCAGTTTAACTTAACAAAAATATTATATTTTATTGAATTAATTTATTATTGTTATTAATTATTCTTACAAAAAAATTGGTATGCCGACTGTTGGAACATGCCATACCGACAATTGACAAGTGGTGTCGACTACTGGCTAAAAAGCATTGTTTTAAGTTATTAAAACTTTAATTATTATTGCAAAAACTATACAAAATTTCGAATCTGAATAAATTAACTTTGTAATAATTGAAAAGTTCCACTCAGAATGGTGAGCGATTAAAAACGCGAAAATCCTAAAAGTGCCGACTACTGGTACACTTACCCTACTATTTTTTTTTAGTTCTGGAAAGTTCGTTATCAAATCCTCTCATTCCATTTTCTATGCTATCAATTCACCTAACATGCCAATGATGGATGGATTAAAAAGCTAGTTCCGCGCTCTTTTAGTGAATGTGTTCAATTTTCTCATGCCTCATTCGTAAACAACAGAGTACCCGGAGTCTTTGCTTTCTGTTTATTTTTTATCAAGTATTTGCTTTTTGGCCTTTATATTCGCTTCGTTGGGGACGAAGTACCACTTGGCATCAAAAGGAAAAAAGCATTGAGGACTACATAAGTCAACTTAAAATCGCCTCTTTTGAAACCGAAAAACACACTTTAGGGTGGCACAAGTAGGGTTTTTGGCAACGTTCCGTATACCCAACCTCCTTTGCTACCAAACAGACCTGCTCCAAAGAAAACAAAAACATAGTAATGAGCTGTAATTATGCCGATGGCCTGTCACCCTATGAAAACAAAGGAGTATTGGGCATTGCCGAAAAATTTGATAGTGCCGAGGAAATCGAGAAGAAAATCAATCAAATAATTGAAATGTTGGAAACTTCCAAGCATGTTGTTGTACATACCGGAGCGGGTATATCAACTACTGCGGGAATTCCGGATTTTCGGTAGGCATAACTAAGGGGAAAAACTCGGTATATTTAGAGAGGCTTGATGTATTTATCCCGGATTTTGTTTTCAAAATTTTTGCAAGTAGGAGTTACCCAAAGAAGGGGTGGACGTTTTTATTTATGGTCTGTTCCAGAACTGCAAGAATGTAAAAGTTTTTACTACGATAACCGATACTCCCTTTATGATATCGAAGAAAATTGCAAAACTAGTAGATTTTTGCAGGTTCTGGAACAGAGCATTAGTGTACAATGCCGGGGAATTGTTCTGGTATATATTTGTGTAAAATTATAGCTGATTTGGAAAACATAAGCTTGGTGTAATAGGGAACTCATAACCACTCGAAATTTTTCATTTTCAGTGGTCCCAAAGGTGTCTGGACTTTGGAGGAAAAAGGTGAGAAGCCTAATTTAAATATATCATTCAACGATGCTGTACCCACTGTTACACATATGGCATTACGTTGCCTGGTGGAAAAAGGCTATGTCCAATATATTGTCTCACAAAATATTGATGGGCTACATTTGAAATCGGGTTTAGCGCGACGTTATCTATCCGAATTACATGGTAATATGTTTATCGAACAATGTAACAAATGTCGTCGACAATTTGTTCGGACGACGGCTGCCGAAACTGTTGGCCAAAAACCATGTGGTGGAGCTTGTCGGCGTTCATGTCGTGGTGGCATACTTTTGGACAATATCTTAGACTGGGAACATGATTTGCCCGAAAGGGACTTAGATTTGGCATTTATGCATTCCACGTAAGTTCCACTGGAATTTGCTCCATTAACAATCATTTATTAATAATTATTTGTATATTTCTATATTAGTTTGGCCGATTTAAATATTACCCTGGGCACAACCCTTCAAATCATTCCAAGTGGCAATTTACCCTTAAAAAATAAAAAGCACAATGGAAAGCTGGTTATATGCAATTTGCAACCAACCAAACATGTAGGTGTTACACTTTTGAAGTCTTGCCGAACTTTTCTCATAATTTTTGTATCCTTGTTCTTCAGGACAAAAAAGCCGATCTTATTATACACACCTATGTTGATGATATCCTTAGTAAAATTTGCAAACGTTTGGGTTTAGAAATACCCAACTACAGTCACGATGAGGATCCCACCAAGTCACCAAATGACGATAATCAAGAATGGACTATTCCCGCGCAACAAGTTAAAGAAATTGAAAAGTTGTATAATGCCAAACAGAAAGCTGCATCAGCCCAACGTAAGGCAGGCAAAACACAATTTACATTCTTTACAAAGAAAGAACCCGTAATCTCCAAAAAGAAGCGCAAAGCTGAAGATGCAGCAGATAGTGACGATGGCATAGAAAGAAAAGTGAAAAATGAAAAGTAAACATAGCATAAACGTATCTCAATTATGATATAAAGTATTAGGTGTAGAGTAAAGTCTTCTTATCTAAGAGAAATTCATTTTGTATGCATTTTTCTAACTATACTATAGTTATATGTCTCTCTTTATATAATGTATGTGTATGTATATTTGATTTATTTTTAATTTTAAGTACATAATTGAACTGATGTTATATTTTTTAATGATAAAAACCCATACATTTTAACAAAATAAAATCTTATTCGAAGATTATTTTCTTGTCTTTTTCTTATTTTTTCTTCGGCAAGTTTCCCTTTCATCCACATGTTTTGAAATTTTCCGATTGAAGTTCCCTTGAATCCGTTGATTTTAGGTATGTGGTTGACGAAGATAATATTACAGACAAAAACACGAGGATTAATTTGGCCAGACAATTTTTACCGTAAAGCAAGTCGACAAAAGCGTCATTTGGTCCTTTTTCAAAAATATGTTTAAAAACTCCCTTTAAGCGGCATCGTAGAAAGTCAAAGTAGTCGACAAAATTATTTGTCATAAGAATCAAGAGTCTCAACCTTACCTAAACGCCAGGAAGTGATATATATAAACATTTTAGGTTTAAAGTCGTACTCTATGGGAGTTTTTTAAAAAATCTCCAACAAAGCATAATTTTAGAAGTGTGATGTCAAAGACAAAAATATTTTCCGTCGAATTTCACTATAAGTCACCAAAGAAAAGAAATTTCTATTTCCACTTCATGCCAAGAAAATATTTTCCGATTATTTTTGATTTTGATATATTTGATGCTGCCATTTCTAAGGCACTCGTCCGACAGCTGTTAAAATTATTCCAGTGACAACCAAAAACATTTTGGTGAGCATTTTTCAGAAAAAAAGTTATTCGTGATGCAATTCAAGCGTGATAGTGTGATTTCTTTATATTTGGATGGCGAACCACAAGTGGCTATCGTTAGAGGACTCCAGCATTTAAATGTGAATAAATCTTTTGTGTCTTGTACCAGCGCTCATTACCGTGATTACCGTGGACGGAAAAAAAGAGCAACATCAGCTGAAATGGTTCGAAAAGTAAAGAAGCGACTTGATCGAAACCCACGTTGCAGTTGCTAAAAATGGCTCGTGAGCTGAACATATCGCAATATTCCATTCGGCAAATATTGAAAAATGATAGCTGTTTCCATTGAAATTCCTAAAAGTGAAAGAAAATAGACTCAAAAAAACTATAGAGTTGCTTCGCTTGACCGAAAGTGGTGAACTGCCGAATTTGGTTTTTTCCTGATGAGAAAACATTCGTTGTCCAGCAGTTTGTAAACAAACAAAATGATCGTGTGTTACTTGCCAGAGAGGTCAGCTGAAAATGTGCACCCTCGGTTGGCCACCAGAAATCAAGTGCCGGTCATGATGATAGTGTGGGCCGCCATAACAGCCGATGGTCGCTCTTCACTCGTATTAATCGACCGTGGCATCAGAATAAATGCAGAATATTATCGCGAAAATATCCTGGAAAGTGTATTAGAGCCTTGGACACGCAGACCTTGGACATTCCTCAGCACAATCGCACTCAGCAGGCGCCACCCAAGAATGATTACAAAATGAGGTTCCTCGCTTCATTTCCAGCTCACAATGGCCACCAAAATCTCCGGATACCAATATTGTGTCTGGAGTATTTTGGAAAGCAAGGATGGAACTAAAAAATACCAAAGTGTCGATTACCTCAAGCAAGCGCTTCGCCTGGAATGGGCCAAAATTCCGCAGAGCAACATTCGGACAGCGTGTGATGTTTCGTTGGCCGTTTGAAGGCCATAATTTGTGCCAAAAATGACCAATTCGAACAAATCTAAACTTATTCTAAAATTTGATGCTATCTCCGACATTTTTTTGCTTTTGATTCAATAAAATTTAAAAAAATGCATGAATTATGGCGTTTACTTTGGTGCAGTTTTTTAATCGCACCCTGTATATTCTTGATAAATATAAAATTCTATTCCGATTTAGCGATGTCCGTCCGTCTGGGGAAATCACTCTAGCTTCCGAACGAGATGAAGTAGGTTGAGACAATTTTACTCAAAAGTATGTTATGTCGGCAGAACTTTTGGCATTGAAAATGGAATACTACAACCTATGACAGAAAATTGTTTGTGCAGGTCCACGTCTTCGTATAGCCCCCTATAACAGTACCTCCCGATATTCGATATTTTGATGATTTAGCGACATTATACACCGGAATTGTTTCAAATTTTGTATTTGAAGTTCGTAATGGATTCCAAATACTATGACAGAAAAATATATGTGCAGGTCCATGTCTTCGTATAGCCCTCATTCAACGGTACCTCTTGATATTCGGTGTTTTTAAGATTTTAGCGACATTATTCACCGGAATTGTTTCAAATTTGGTATTTAGATTTCGTAATGGATACTACAGCCTAAGACAGAAAATTGTCTGTTTGACGTAATCGTATAGCCCTCATACAACGGTACCTCCCGATATTCGGTATTTAGATGATTTTAGCGATATTATTCTCCGGAAATATTTCAAATTTGGTATTTGAAGTTCGTAATGGAAACTACAGTCTATGCCAGAAAATTGTCTGTGCATGTCCACGTCTTCGTAAAGACCCCAATATAACGGCTAATATTCGGTATTTTTGAGATTTTATAGGAATTTTTAACGGATTTTATTTTTTTGAAAATTTCCAAATTTGTTCCAAATGCTTTTTCATTCATTCCAACTGATTTTTTACTAGTTTATGTTGCGATTGACTCCCAGAGCTTTGCTTGATCGTAAGTTTGATGCTTTGCATCAATTTTCAAGTTCTGTTCCCTCCCTACCTTTCCCTAAAATAAAACAAGTTTTCTTTTTTTTTTCTATTACTTTTCTTTCGATCAAATTCTTAGAAGGAAATTGGTAAAACTTTATTGTTTTTTGTTGTTTATATTATTCTGTAATGGGTTTTGGAAGGGGTGGGGTTGGGTATTCTTAAACAAAAACTTATACTGAGAGAGAAAAAAATCTTAAAAATTACAAATGAAAACAAAAAAAAAAAAACAATATCATTAATAATAAAAAAGGTAAGGTAGAGAAAAAATGCATTATATTTACAGACAAGTACCAAGATGTAGGTTTTGCTCTGATCATATCTTCCGTATATATAAAGGTATGAAGGAGATGGGCGGGAGGGTATGTACAGAAACTAGATTCTTTAAGGAAAATGAAAATATAACCTAAAAACAAATGAGTTGGGGGGTTGAAACAAGTTATAAAAAAATGTCTTAAATATTTAAACAATTTTGTTTTGTATTTTCTTTCTTTTAAATATATATATTTTTGTATAACAAGCTGTTGCTTTTTTTGAAAAGGCAAATGAGATATTTTATTTGTTTTAAATTAAAATTTCGTTTCAGTTTTTGTTTTTTTGGTATTTAAAAAATTTTCTTTTCATTTTTTGTTCTACATACTACATAGATATTTATATATATATATAAATATTTATATACAAAACACATAGTATATATATCATATATCGAAAGAGAGGCCACCAATTATTGATTATCAATTTTGTTGTTATTATTTCTTTAAATTTTATTCGAAATTAAAGTTTGAAAATAACAATAGACCTAAACAAAATTTGTTTATTAAAGCTGGCCAAGAAAGACATAAAATACATAACAGAATATCAGTTGAGATGATGAAAGTTTGTTGAGATATGGGGATATGTTTTGGTTTAACTCTGATTGAAATGTCAGATTCTCTCATATGCCACTGAATATAAAATATCCAAATAGAGTGGGGGGGGGGGGTAATTTTTACTTTACCATTAAAAAAAATAAAAAATCTTAGTATTTATTGGTGTATTTGTTGTTGTTTGTTTGTTTACTTGCTTTGCTTTCTTTTTCTTTTTTAAAAACTACATTTTACAAAATAACATAATTTTTGGAGAAATAGTTTTTTTATACAAAAGTAGTGGTGGGAAAGGTTGGGGAGAAGAGATAGAAAGAGATATATATAAAGGGGGGTAGGAGGGAGTATGAACAACTTTTAAAAACGTAATAGCAGAACTTAAACAAAAAAGTTCTAGATATTTTGCTTTTGTTCCTCATATCATTATCAACTACCTTACAAAAAATGGTTTGTATTTTTCCACATTATTCTTCGTCTTCTTCTTCTTTGTTTTAAATCTTTTTTTAAATAATTCTTATTCTTCTTTTAAATTAATTATATAATATAAACAAATCTACACACATATTTTTTATTATTTATAATAGATTTTATAACTCTTATGGTAGCTATGTCTTAAAAAACAAGCAACAACTTAACGATTACCACTGCCGCCACCACCACCACCTTGACCACCTGTCGTTGTAGTTGTTGTATTGAACTTGGCCCCAGAGTTTATGGCTGCAGACGACGACATCATGGATGGTGGTGTCGCATGGTGATGGTGATTCGTCGACGTCGACGAAGATGTTGTCTTTAAAAGTATAATTTTTTGATTTGTCGTCGCCGTTGTTGCTGTTGTATTCAAATGATGATTGCCACTAATGTTGCTACCACTACTACTACTACTACAAGTACTATTACTGTTGTTGCTTTTGCTACTACTTGAGCCATGTTGTATTGTTGCTGTTGTATTGCTTAAATTATTGCTTTGTAAATTAATAATATTGGCCGCTGTTAGTTTTCTTGATATAATATTTTGGGCATTGTATTGCGATCCGGAGGAGCCGCCTCCACCACTTAAATTACTGGGCGGTGCCGGCGTTATGGTCACTTGGGCCTGAGCTTGGGCAATATTTTGCATGGCTGCCAATTGTGAGGAGGCCGCCAGCGAGGAGGCTGGCACAATTGTCGTAATGCCATTTTCATGTTGTATGGTATTGCTACTGTTGTAGATTGCACGCATTTTAGCCTGGGCCGCTGCCACGGACGTGGATGAGCTCAGCGATGATGTGGTGTTGCTGCCATTATTTCCCGTTGATATTTGGGCAATTTTGACAGCGGTTGTTGTGGGATGACTGGATAAACGTGCCTAAAATGGGGAAGCGAGAGAGAGAGGAAAAGTGTTATTATTTATTGATTTAACAAAAATAAATAAATAATGATTTAAAATTATTATTGTTCCGTCTCATGGCTCTGCTGTTTCATTTTCTTTATTTAAAAGAAACTTTACATTAATCCAAAGCCATCAGGGGCAAGCAAGGCAACAAAAAATTTGAATTAAAAGTTTCTACGTTCTACAGTTTTGATATCCTCCACCATAGAGTATGGAGGGTATTGGATATTAAGTTTATCATTCCGTTTTTAACACCCCGAAATATACATTTTAGACCCCACAAGGTATATATATTCTTGATCAGCATAAAATGCTATGCCGATTCATGCGATGTCCGCCCGTCCGTCCCTCTGTGGAAATCACTCTAACTTCCGAACGAAATGAAGCAGGTTGATAAAATTCTACTCAAATGTATATTACGTATGCAGGACTTTTGATATTGAAAATGGTCCAGGTAGGTCCAAGTTTTGGTATAGCCCCCATATAATGTTTCCTCCCGATATTCGGTATTTTGATGATTTCAGCGACATTATTCAGCGGAATTGTTTCAAACTTGATATTTGAAGTTTGTAATGGATACTACAGCCTACGGCAGAAAATTATCTGTGCAGGTCCACGTCTTCGTATAGCCCTCATAGAACGATACCTCCCGATATTCGGTATTTAGCGATTATTTACCTGATTTTTTTTTTCAAAATTTGGTATTTGAAGATCGTAATGGATACTACAGCCTATGGCGGAAAATTGTCTGTGCAAGTCCACGTCTTCGTTTAGCCCCCATATAACGGTAACTCCCGATATTCGGTATTTTGGTGATTTAAGCGACATTATTCAGCGGAATTGTTTCAAATTTCGAATTTAGAATTTGTAAAGGATATTAAAGCCTATGATAGAAAATTGTCTATGCAGGTCCACGTTTTGGTACAGCCCCCATATAATAGTACCTACCCATATTCGGTATTTTGATGAACTTGGCTACATTTACAATATTCGCATTGGAATATTATAATGGCTTATGACAAAACCTGCCTATGCAGATCCACGTCGTCGTATAGACCCCAATATAACGGCTACATTCGAGATTTTTAAGATTTTAACAGAATTTTTAACAGATTTTATTTTTTTTTGAAACATTCCAAATTCTTTCAAAATTGTTGCCTCTTTTGAGGGATGTAACTTTCGTCAAACATTTTTTATGCATTTTTCTAAATTTTGTGTTCTTTTTTTACTTCCCTTAGCTCTTAAAAAAATCATCCTCTACAGTCCAGTAAAAATATACCCAATTTCCTTTCCTCATCAAAAAAAAAATGTTTGTTTTTCCCAATTCTTGTTGTTACTTACATTCGTTCCGGACGTCGTTACTGATGTGTATTTACGATTTTGTAAAATTTTGGCAGCCACCTCATTGCCGGTTAACACCAAATTTTGGGCCTGGCCCTGAATTTGCACCCCACTGGCCAAAAACATTGTCTGGACACCGTGACGACTCAACATTTTCTTTTCCAAATCTTCCTGCTATTAAATGAAAAACATAATTCAATAAAAATTCCAATCGATGTATTTATGCCTTCAACTTACCAATGGACTTGCAGATTTACGCTCCAACAGCATGTTCTCATCGAAACCCGAATCGGAGGAATTATCACTGAATTTAGTCGATGACGTCGAGGATGTCGACGATGTGGGTGATGCTGCTGACATTGAGGCCGTTGTTAGTGGCGGCTGGGCCATGGAATTATATGAAGATAAATTTTGATATGGTGTTGCTGTCGTTGTTGCGCCGTTATTACTGCTGGCCATTGTCACAGAAACGCCAGCGTTATGTAAACTATTAAGATTTGCAATTGTTGCTGATGGTTTTGCCAAAATGTAGGACTTATCGACAGTTTTTATAATGGGTTTCATTTCGCTAAGATCACTGATTTTTAGCCGTACAGCGGTATTGAATTTTTCCAAAGAATGTTTGACAATCTTGCCGGTATCAGCTGTTTTGAGTTTATGCAAAAAGCTGTGGTGGGCGGCGGCATTTGCTGAGGATGATGATTTTGTTGTTGTGGTGCTGTTGTTTAAGGCCGTTGTTGTAGTGCTGAGATGATGATGATGATGATGAAGACTTGACGTTGGCGATATTGTGGTAACCTTGGCTAAGGAATGTTTGGGCATATTTAGGCATAACGAAGAAGATGATGATGATGATCCAGCAGCAGTAGTGGAGGAGGTGGAAGATGCTGCTATAGAACTAACAGAAATGCTTAAACTTGAAGATGAAGAGGAGCCACTGGTGGAAGATAAGGGCATGTGCGATGAATGTATGGCGCCATGATCGTTGTGTCTTTGCTGTTGAGCAAATTGTTGCTGCTGTGTATGGTTATTGTAATCAGACTCAGTCTTTTTAGTTGAATAATAGTTTGTTTCACTTGCAGTGACCATGTCACCTTGAGGAAAACACTCCGATTGTCTTTTAAAGAACAAATGATGTTTCTTAAGCACTGGTGTGGATGATTTGGTAATGGTTAAGGATGATGCGGCCGCCACTGGCGTTATTGTTGTGGCCGGTCGGTCATATAATAACGACGTCGAGGACAAACTTGAGCATGTTGCTGAGCTGCTGGTGGATGAGGAGGCAACCGAATTGTTGGGAGTTTGTAATTGGACCACAGCTGGTAAACCGTGTTGTAATGCCTTTGTTACTGTTTTGTCTTTTGTCTCCTCCTTTGCATCCAAATTTTGATGTTTTTCACATGGTTTATAGTGGGCAACATCTACAATTAATGCTCCACCCAGGGCAGGACACTCATATAACATACCACAACATGATTTCTTTTCTTGCCACTCGTCTTCATCGAAAAAATTTATGCTGGATTCATAGACAATTGAGCGACGGTTTTTAAGAGGCGGCAAACATTTACGCCGTTTGCTACCCAATTTCAAGTAACGTCTACGAGCTTCGGCCGCAACTTGAGCCCGAAAAGCTGAAGCTCGAGTTTGGGTTTGAAATTGTACAACAGTGCCTCCTAGACTACCAATACCACCACCACCGCTGCCATTCAAGGAACCATGCAAACGAGAATCTTCATAATCACTGTCCAGTGAATCTGGGGTTGTGGGCAGTGAATGTGATCCAGCTGCACTGAGAGACCAACCATTGCTGGAAGATTTACGTTTGTATGTGGAATCCTTAAGTTTCTTGGACTTTTTGAAAATTTTCGAATATTTTTCCGGCATATACGACGATGATGAGGCTGATGTAAGGGTGGTGTTGTTGCTATGGCCATTGGAGGTTGTGCCATTGATGGCACTTGAGTTACTGCTTGAGCAAGATGAGTTTGAGGGGCTTGCACCACTATTGCTGCTGCTGTTGTTGTTTCCGGCATTGGATGAGGATTGATGGCTACGTGAAGTTCCACGATCACTTTTGTACTTTGTTTGGATTTTACTGCTACCCGGACCAGCGCGAGCATCAACAACCTAAAAAAAAAGAAAAACTTTAATATATGTTTTGTCTCATTTGGGGGTGCTGTGCTATTTTGAGAACTTACATGACTCCAATTACGTTTACTGCCAACTGGCAAACGTTTATAACGTTTCACCAACAGCACACAGGCATTGCAGATTTCACCCTGCCGAGGATATTTGAGATCAAAACATTGCATCGTATCACGCTCATATTTACGTGAATCGGTAAAGCGTGAACTGCTTGATTTGGCACGACAAATGCAACAACCCTCGGTTGACCGATAGGTTCGAGGTTTATGAAAGTTAAACATTTTGTTCAGGGTTTCTTTTTGGGATTATTGTTTATTAATGGTAAACAATTTATGCTTGTTCTTTTCTTGCTTGTTATTTTTGTTCGTTGATATTTTTAGGTGTTGGGTAATATGTTGCTGTTGTATCTATCTGCTTAATGATGATGATGATCAAACGACATCCACATAAAAGCACATTCAAAAATATGATAACAAAATATCACGGTTTTAATGCACAATGATGATGATTTGGACACATTTTGTTTATTGTTGTAAATTATGCTAAAAAGAGAAATGGAAAAGAAGGTAATATTAGATGGATGTATTTTGGTTGCTACAATTATCCCTATAATCGAGCTATTAAGGAAGGTTTAAGTTAGACCCTTTTGCCAGGTAAAGGAATAGGCATATTAATTCCATTGGGCTTTTTAAATCCAGTTCAATAAATATTCTATGCCACACATATTTTGTTCGATAGGCAAGTGTAATTGACTTGGAGTATTTACTTTACACTCACATTAGACCCCCGCTCCATATAAACACAAAGGTAGACTTTTTAAACACGCATATATACACACACACACGCCTTTAGCCGTAAAACCACTCGCTTTCAATAATTTTTCTTATCATTGTTGCAATTGCAACAAAAGAAACAGGAAATTTCATACAGAAAGCAAGACATGTAAACAAAAAAATAAGAATTACAAAGAAATCGACTGTCAAAGCTCTCTGGTGTAGTTTCCCACCTCTCTCTCTCAGCCATCTATTGCATGCCTTTCTCTCTTCCGCTCATTTGTCAACCATATTGCAATTTGACAACAAAAACCAGTATCCAAGTAACTCTCTCTCGTTTTTGTGCGATGGCTCGTCGCATATTATATATTTTATAAAATAAATTACGAATATTGCTAATAAAGTATACAAAACAAAAATAATGCGAATACGATGAAGAAAAAGAATATGCCAATAACATAATGGATGCATCGCAATATTACAAAGAAAGTCACAACAAAAGCAAACAATGAATAAATAACAAAACAAGTATGTGAAAAAGAAGTGTATGTCAAGAAAAAAAAGAGTGAGAAAACGAATTCTAGAAAAATTCAATGAACAATGGAGAAAAATTATCTAAATATAGTTTTTATGGCCCATCCCCCTCCCTGGCTCCACGAAAAAAAAAACTAGAATTTTCTTTTACAAAACTTTCCTTGTCAGCTTCCCCAAAAAGAAAGGTACGTTTAATAAGGTCAAAGTGGCTGATTTTCTATACTTGTCTTAAAATAGTGCTTGTCATTTGAAAAAGACAGACTTGATTTTATTTTCTAAAAATAGTTTTTTTATTTGAAATGTTATCGAGCTCAAGCTGTTTTGAATATTTCTTTAATATTCCCCCATACTTCTTTATTTTTATTTCATCACATGCCGAAAACGCAAAAAAAATCAAATAAAAGACGCCAGGTAGTCATCACACTATAACCTAAAACATTGGCAACTCTGTTATATTCATTTGACATATCATCTTCTTCTTGTTATTCTGCCGGGCTTTTTGTTGTTCTTCTATGCATATGTATATATATTTTTGCTCTGCTTTTGTCTTCTATACTGTTGCGTGTTGAAACAACAAAACAAAGTCAAAACAAAACAGGCCGCGCGCACATTCATGTTTTTCTTTTCATCATGTACATACACAACAAAGTCGATGTTATTATAAATAGAGTGAGTGGTAGGAAAGAGTAATTGAAAGAGAGAGCGCGCGCACGACAAAAGAACACTTTTATTTTATTGATAATAAAAAAACGAAGCAAAGCAGCAAACGGCAACTTAGCATTTGAGCAAACCTGGAAATATGCATATATTATCTTACGCCACGCTCTACACATTTCCACACAATGCCAACAGACAACACAATATAAAATTGACACATACACAAACTGGAGGTGGATTGTTTTCTTTTTTTCATTTCCTTTTCGATGACACTGACTGAGAGTTGAGGCTAAGTGGAGGCACACATATACATATGATGATGTTGATGTATGTATAACAAGCAAGCAACGAACGAAACGTTGTAAAGTTTACGTTTCGAGTACGCTTTTGTTTTTGCGCTACGGCGTTTTTGTTCTGTACTTTGACTGGCTAGCTGCTGCCACTAGCCACTTTTTTTAACAATACATAAGCAAGCTTGCTTGTGCTTGTTTGAAATTTTGTGGCACAAAACAAGACCAACAAGGCAGCCAGCCAGCCAGTCTCTTTTTCTGTAAGCTGCATGCACACAACAACAACACCAACACACCACATTCACATACTTGTAAACACAAAGAGAACTGGGAATTAATCCAGTAAAACAAAAAAAAATTGAAATGTGTCGTTGTGATATGAACTTTTTTTCTGTAATGTACTCGGGCATTTCGGGATGTACTAAAATACACACAACTGCAACAACTTTTTTTATTTGTTGTTATTTCATAGGGAAAGTAGTAGTGAACAATGTACAGAAACATAACGAAAAAAAGAGTTTAATGTAAACCAAACAAAAAAATTTGAAAAAAACTGCATATAGGTACACATTATCAGGTTGAAGAAGTATTGAATTTTAATATTATTTCAAGTTAACACTTTTTTGTGCAAATATTTAATTAATTTGTGAAATTTTTTCAAGACCCACCATTCAACAAATTTTATTTCCAACACTTATTGTTTTTCACAGTTTATGTTCGTTTTTTTGTATTGTTAAAAAACGTTTTTGATTTGTTGTTAATTATTATTTTAAACACTTTTTAGATTTCCATTTATTTTATTATTTGAATTTCACAAAGATGATGATTTCCAAAAAACAAAATGCAAAAATTTATAATTGAAGCTGTTTCTTTCTTCCGTCATCAAAAATACCACGTCCTAACTCTTAAGAGGCACAAAGAAAAACTAAAACTGATGTCTATTCAGTGTTTCAGGCATTCTTCGTGCTGTTACGTTTAGTAGTTGTCGCTGTTTCTTTCCACCTCTGCTTTTGCTTCTTCTTTTTCGTTTTCCATTTTTTTGTTTGTGTATTTTGTTTTGCATGCCTCTTCCTCTCGTAGTCCGTAGTCAAAACACAAAAAATGTGTATTCATGCGAATGACACAAACACACACACTCATGAGGAAGAGGAGTCGTCCATTAAAAAGAAATCCCCAACACTGAAAATTGACACATCTCTGTCGGGCGCTCTCTTCGCTCCCTCTCTCTTTCATAGTAAAAACAACACATCTCACCTTCACACATGTTTATGAGAACTCAACCATTTACACGGGGAATAATGACACACATAACCACAGATACACATGAATGCCAATGAGTCTGGGCATGGGAGAGCGAGAGAGAATCAAAGTTGAGCATAAACATTTCATCGACCAACAACTGTTATGGTGGCATTGTTTTTGCCTCAATGACATGTTGTCGTTTGTTGCCTATCGTCATCGTCCACTGCATGCAATAATCGCCAGCAGCAGCGCGCAGATTATTCCGATATAAACAAACTACACGAAAAAAACAGGGCTGCATATATGGACGTACGTAGTAGTAGTAAATTGGTGATATGTGTGTAAAAATTTATGTATTTGCTAATTTAAAATAAATCTATGAGTTTTGTGAAAAAATAATAAACAACAAACGCAATGGAAATAATTTGAATTATTAAAAAAATGTACCTAAGAAGGGACATAGCGGCACATGTTTATTGTTCTTGTTACGCATAAAATAAAAATTATTATTTCTTTAAATTAATAGATTCAAACTATAAGGTTATTTTTGAAATTTATCCAAACAATGCCATTCAGGTACATACATTTCCAAAAATACATCCCCCACTCAAAAAAAGAATTTTTCATTTTAAAATAAATTTAAAGATTCCAAAATAATGTATAGATAGATGGCAATTATTTATCCACATATCGTGGCTTATCCATTCTTTATCACCTTTCAAGCAATAAAAAGACGAGAACAATCACACGAAAAACCATTAAAATTAACAAGAACACTAACACAACAAACAGTAGATAGGCGGCAGGCAGGCACAAACAACATAAAATACGCAAAAAAAAATAAAACAAACGAAATGCTAGAAAGAGAGAGTGAGAAAAAAACAGAGTGAGTGGGAACTACTCAAATGAGAATCATATCAGAACGAAAAAAGCAAAAGAATTTGCAGGAGTAACAAAATTGAAACAAAACAGAACAGAATAAGAAACACAAAAGGGAAAACAAACAACCAAGCAGATACCAAAATAGAAAAAAAAAGATTAAAGCAGCTGTTGGTTTTGAAAACAATGATTACAAGAGGAAAGAGAAAAAAGAAAACAAACGAGGCGGGTGAAAAGCAAGATTCTGTATTTCATTCTTTCGCCAAAGAAATTCTTGACGAAAAACACAGGCATACTTTAATTAATATATTAGAAAAAAAAAAGAAAACCCTAAAAAATCGTCTTTTTTGGTTGACTCAAAATGCCTACGTGATTCAAGGCATTTCAGTGAGAAACTACGCAAAAGAGAATGTTGGGTTATCAAAAAGAAAAAAAAACACACACACACAAACATTAATGAGAACAGCGCTCTCTTCACGATGGTTGGTGTACGAGTTGGACCCACAAGAAAATGAAAAAATAGAGGCGAGTACCCCGTGTGTGGAGCAAAACAACACGAATCAGTTTCTTTTTGTCGTTGCTCGTTGTCATTATAAATGGGGTTGTTGTTCTTGCAGTACACACATTAAAAGATGTGCGCCGCGCGTAGATTTCTTCTTGTTGCCTGCCCTCAGCGGCTTCGGCTTTATGTATTCCAATACTTCTTTTTCGATGTAACTCGTTTGTAAACGATGTGGGGGAAAAAGTGACAAAAATAATATTGCGTGAGTCGTCGTATTTCTATCTCGTTGGGGAGAACAAAAGTATGAATGTCAGTGGGTGTGTGTGCGTCTGCTATCGTGCGCACATGTGTGTAGTAAATGAACGACGCCAAATAAATATTCGACTGTGTGTGGTTGTGTGCTTGCGTTTGGATATTTTAAGAATAACAATTAAAATGCCAGTTTGTGAAAGCGAAATTTATGAGTTGACTCATAAATTTACATGCAAGAATTTCATGAGAAAAGTAAAATGTGTTTTGTTTTTTTTTAAATAGTCCGACTCAATTCCAATGTTGTTTTTTTTATCTAAAATTCCACATTATGTGGGATGTTTCCATTTGCTAGCTCCAAGGAAAATTAGCAATTGGTTTTATATAGGCATACAAATGTCAAAGTTAAATGTCAAGGATTTTGTAGAGAAAAATGCTATTTAAATGTGCAATATAAAAAATTAGACGTGGAAAATTTCACAATTTTCATTAAATACGGTTGCATAGGAATGCGCACCATTAAACAAAACGGAAGACCAAAAATGGTTGATAAAATTATAACCAGAAATTGCCAACAACACAACCTGTATTGCCTCTTCTCTCTCTCACACACACTGGCACTCACGACTTTGAAATGTGCCTCAGTGATGTCAACTACATAGTACCTCAAAAACGACAGTTTCCAAGCAGTATGTGATTAATAGATAAAACGGCGCCCACACTCCATTTTTACAATTCTTGATTTATTTGTCATTTAATCAAAAGGATCGACAATGTAAACAACCTGTTGCAGTTCTGAAATAGGCCAGTGTCCGGTTCCAGCATCTGCAAAAATCTACTATTTTAGCCATTAGTTTTTCGATATCATAAGAGAAAAATCGGTTATCGTAGCAAGAACTTTTACTTCCTTGCAGTTCCGGAACCTTAATCCTTTTTGGTGGACAATATTAAAACTGTAGAAAATAATAATAAAAGTCGGTCAAAAGTTTATGACCCCAACATCGATTACAAAAGTTGAATTTGTAATTTTTACCGCAAAAAAATCGCCTTTTTTACTTTTAGTCAATTTCAATGGTTCGATAGTCGATTTACGTATCTCTATTCCATTGCGTGCAAATTTGAAATCCACTGGATTTATTTTTATACCCACACACCACAAGGTGAAAGGGTATATCAAAATTTTGATATAGCTTCGCCCGATTTGCCTTTTATTGTGCACCAAACCTGTAATATCAGCCCAAATAGTATGGAATTTTGCACATACGACCAAATTAGGCCTGGAAATAAGTATGCCAAATTTAATCGAAATCGGTTCAGATATAGTTATAACTCCCATATATATTCTTCATCCGATTTGTAATATTTGTTCTCTACAGCCGTAATATCCGTAACAACGATATTTAGGGAAATATATCAAATACAACTCAGAAATACCTTGGCTAGATTTTTGTCGGGATCGGTTCAGATTTGGATATATAAACATATCTTCGTCCGATTTGCTTTTATTGTGCGCCAAACGTGTAATATTAGCCCATATGGGATAGAATTTGGCATTTACGACCAAATTGAGTATAGAAATAAAATTTGGTGAAAATCGGTCAGATATAGCTATTTCTCCTATATATATTGTTCATCCGATTTGTTATATGTGTGTATGAAAATTCCAAAAATGTGATTTCTTATAGCGGTTTAAATCAATTAACATTGGAAACTATGTTGTTATATCATAACAACAGCGGTATTTTTACAGGGTTGCCATATTTTGACTCTGTTTCTGTCCTATCGTTATACTTCGTCCGTAAGACCTTTGGTATTGCATGTATTCCATAAAGATCCACATTTTGATGTATCCTCCTAATAACTTGACCGGCATATTTAAGGTCTTTTGCTGTTTTGATGACTTTAGCTAAATTTTTCAACATAATTCTCATATAGACTCATACTATTGTAAAATCTAATATTTGGAATTTTTAAAAATTTTTTAAAATTTTTTTTTTTGAAATTGCAATTTCCTTCCAAGTGTTTCATTTTTATCTTAACTTTTATATTTCAATGACTTTAATCTAAAAGCTAATCTATTTCGAAATAATAATCCAAAACGCGATGACTTTCTGAAATTGCGTAGCCTTATTCCTTAAACTTTTATCTGTTGTATTTCAATTTTGCATTATAAAAATTGTGGCAACTCCACCTTACTTATGCCGTTTTTTTCTATTTGTTGAAAAAATGCCTAAATCATATAATAACACAAAATTGGCAACACCCTTTTTCCTCTCTATCTTGCACTACTCATGTTTATCAAGAATTGATACATTCGGTCTCTCTCTCTCTCTGTAAACTAAAAACAGTTGTTTGACTAGTTTGGGTTATTTATTTCCCTCTCTCTCTCCCTCCCTCTTTCGTATAATGTATTACTTAATTCTTACGTTTTCGGGTGATAACAACATTGTTTTGTTTGGTTGGAGCCGATTGTTTTCATTTATGGCTATTGATTGTCTCAACACGTCGTCGTCGCACAGAAAAGAAGTGGAGATGGCAGAACAATAAATTATAGGGGGGCAACCTAGTTTTTTTTTCTTAGTTGAAATTTTTGGTGATGAGCAGCAGAAAAAGACCCCCAAAGAAAAGTGTGTCACAAATGACCAACGAAATTTTGTTCTCCGAAACCGGCCCTTTGACAGAAAACCCCAGTAAAAGACAAATATTGGATGAGATTAAACGAGGGGGAGGGAGTTAGGTGGTTCGTGAAGTAAAAACCAAAAAAAGACCTGTTCACAAACGACTAATTCCAGTTGTTGGCCGGTCGTTTAATTTCGTCGGTTGCTTGATGAAAAAGTTCGTCATAAAATGGATATTTATTTTTTGGTGGAATTGGAAATCATTGCAAGAAAAACGGAATGGGGGAAAAAAGAAGCAACAGAAAAATACTTTCTTTTTTTTTATTCATACACCAAAAAAATAATTTCTATTGTTTTACGAATGCTTTTTTTTCATTCTTTTTTCCTACGATTTTGAGTTTAATATTTATTCAAATATGTAAAGTGGTATGGTGCACGTGAGTGTATGTATGTAGATATGTATGGAAGTGGGTTGGTCTGAGCGTGAATGTGGTTATTATTGATGGTCATTTCATTTGTGTTTTGGTAGGTCTATCGCCCGTGTAAACAAGTTGTCTGTATCGAAAAACAAATTTGTTTGCTTGGTAACAAGTGTTTGCCACGATCTCCTCTCTCCTATATTATGCCCTCGCACATCATCATTCGTTCTCAATTGTTTTGAAATGTCAAAAACTTGGGGGGAAAAATGACAGCAAACAGAAAATTGCAAAATCGAATCAAATTGCATTGGTGGGGGTACATATGTACCTATCTGTTAGTATTTTACCATGAACGTGCTTGCTTGTTTGCTTGATTGCGTGTATGCATAGCATAAGATATGTATGTGAAACGACCCTTCACCACCCACTAAATACCCGACTCTGAAATAATTTTACTCAATCAATGACACACTATTTTTAGGGGAATTTCCAAAACTTTACAATAAATTTTTATGCAAGGCCAAGTTTTTGTCATTTTGTTGACATTTTCGGACTCGAACAACACTTGAAAGAAGAGGAAGTTGCTCTCATTGATAACCACAAACAGAGGTAGTTACTGTCAAATTACGTTCTAATCAACACAGGGTTGCCACGTTGTAGCAAATTACTGAAAAGTAAGTAGATCTAGGGATATGTATACTTTGGTAGTGAAAGTCAGAACAGAGAATAACGGACAATATGTGAAAGTGATAATTATAAACAGGAGATGCAAAATGGGGATATATTGACTAGAAATAAAAAATTATTGAGAAAATATTGAAATTCTAATGTTTGCAAAATGCTTATTGCAACGTTTGCATCAACAAAATCTACAGTTTTTTAGAAATATAAAGGACATGATTTTGAAAATAAAATTTGACCTTTCATTCAGTTTTCGCTGTTTTCAATTAACTGTTCAAAATCAATGCAAAGGTTTTTTGGTTCTTTTTATTGTATTGATAGTAATTCTGCCAATACAAACCAAACAGGTAGACCCATACAGGGTGAGATAAAAAATGCAACAAAGTCAAATATGCCATAATTTTTACATATTTTTTTTTTTAATTTTATTGAATGAATAATTCTAGAATAATTCTAGATTTGTTCGAATTGTTGACCTTTCGCACGAATTATGGCCTTCAAACGGCGAATGTTGCTCTGCGGTATTTTGGCCCATACCCGGCGAAGCGCTTGCTTGAGTTGATCGACACTTTGGTACCTTGCTTTCCAAAATACTTCAGACTCTATAGTCCGACGGATTGGTATCCGGAGATTTTGGTGGAAATGAAGCGAGGAACCTCATTTTGTAACCACATTCTTCGGTTGCGCATGCTGAGTACTGTTGGAATGTCCAAGGTCTGTAGCCAAAATGTTTGCGTGCCCAAAGCTTAAATACAACCTCCAGAATATTTTCGTGATAATATTCGTCATTTATTCTGATGCCACAGTAGATTCATACGAGCGGAGAGCGACCATCAGCTGATATAAGCGGCACACACCATCACCAAGGCCGGCGCTTGAGTTCTGGTGGCCAACCGTAGGTGCACCTCTTCAACTGACCTATTTGGCAAGTAAACACGATTATTTTGTTTGTTTACAAACTGCTGGACTACGAATGTTTTCTCATCGGAGAAAACCGAATTCGGCAGTTCACCACTTTCGGTCAAGCGAAGCAACTCTTTAGCTCTTTTGAGTCTATTTTCTTTCTGTTGCGGTGTAAGTTCTTGCACTTTTTGGAATTTCAATGGCTTTACCTCGAGCTCATTTTTCAATATTTGCTGAATGCAATATTGCTATATGTTCAGCTCACGGGCCATTTTTCGATCAAGTCGCTTCTTTACTTTTCGAACCATTTTTGCTGATGTTGCTCTTTTCTTCCGTCCACTTCCTTGACGATTTTTTTGAAGATTTTTTTACATTTAAATGCTGGAGTGCTC